AAAAAAAAGAATGGGAAGGTACCAGTCATGGAAAAAGCTAACAAAGGGTATTGCAAGTAAAAGGAAAACACGTGCAAAGGCCTAGAGACTATAGAGTTTGCCATGGACAAATGTGATGTCTTTAGCATCTTAGGATACAGGTGGCATGGAAGGAGGCATTGCCCGGTCAGGCAAGGTTAAGGCGTCAGGACTTGTGTGGACACAGGTGCTCTCGTGTGTTGGGCAAGATCCATTAGTAGGGGCACAGCATTCTCGGAGCACCTCAGGGCTGTCCACAGGATACAGAAATCCCTTCACAAGCTGCATGAAGGCTAGATTTTATCCTGCCCTGCGAGAAGGGTCTGGGCACAGGGATCTTCCAGCACAGACTGGGTTGGTTCTCTCAGCCTCTGAGGCCCTGCTGGGAAGTGTCAAACTCAGAGTCATGGAAACTAGAAAGTCTTTTCATGTTTGCCTGGTGATGAGCGAAAATGATGAGACTGTTGCTTTTTCATATCTCTCCCGTGGACTTTTAAAATTAATTCCACCGTCAAGATTCCCATGCCCGAAATGTGGGTTTGGGGGGAGAAATTAAGACTTTGAAGTCGAAAAAGAAAGTCCAGAAAGTGTTCTCTAGACAAATGCTCACCATGCAGATGTTGGTATCTGTGAGGAGAAAAGTAAAAAGGCACTCAGGAACTGGTTTAGAGAGAGAGAAGGAAAAAAAAACAAAAACAAAACAAGAACAAGGGGTGAGGCTGGCTACTGCAGTTCAGAAGACTAAATAAATAAATAAAATAATAAAAGGTCGTGCTGAAGCTTTGAAAAGAATTTTTTCATTTGAGGGAGATTATGAATAATGAAATGCAAACATAATAGTTACTATGTTTGTGAGCTGGTTTTGTTTCTTTCTGGAAAATGAATAAATGCCTCCTATACAGAGTGGCGTTTCAGGTTATCAGACTCAACTGTTGTTGGGGTGAGGCCTATGTGTGTACCCTAGAATTCCTTACCAAACAAAGGCTGGATATTAGATGCTAGATGCAAATCAATATTTATTCCAAAGCCACAAACTTGCTAATCCTCCACAAGCTCTTCACAAATGAACCCGACAACACTGAAACAGCTAAAGAGATTTACTCCAGCTGTAGCAAATTCCTAATAATAAAAAATTTCCCCAAATGAGTCAGTCACACAGGAGGTAAATGAGACATTCTCTGTGAAGTCAGCATGCCATTTGGAGTGTGCCCTTTATACAAAGAAGCCCAGCCTGGTGGTTAACTGGGGCTGGTCCACAGGGCAGAACCCAGACACTGGAAACAGAGGGAATTCTATCCACCAAATTCTAATTTCTGGGTTACTTTTCCCTCAGGCAAACCTGACAGGAAAATTCCTTTTTTCCAAGAAGTTCCAATAAGGATGCTTATTTGCTTCACAAAAGGATTCACCAGAGGGGTCCTTTAAATAACCAGCTCAGAGAGAAAATTTATACTATAATTGATTTATGTGAACCCTTTTCAAAAATGCATCCCTTCGCATATGTCACAACATATCTGTAGTTGGCACTGTAGCAAAAAAGGGTTGAGGGCAGTATATCCATTGAGTAAGTTGAGGCATGTTAAGAGAGTGGAGCATTTGTTGGGGAGCTCTGCTAAGTAGCTGATTCTGTTAACCCCTAAATGACTATATGCAAGTGGAGACCGCTAGATAAAACCCTCCCACTTTTGATGAATAAGCCAGTCCATGACTTGTCTTTGTTTTTCCTGAAGAAATTGGCAACATAAAGACTGGCACTATCTGGTGGTCTTTAAAGAACCAATTTTTTGAAGGTATCTGTTGAGTGGGGGTTCTCTGCTATCCCTTAAAATGTGTCTTGTTTAGTCCTCAGTGTAAGTCTGTGAGATGGATGATGACGGTGGTAATATTTACTTTTTCATCTGCTAAATGAGAGCTGGGTTATTTTTCTCAGCTCTTCTACTTTGAAAAAAATACTAATGGAAGCTGCTATATGTTACATTTTCTTGACTTCTCAAAAAATGCAGCTTTATCGTAAACTATCCAGATAATTAAAGAGAACAAAATAAAAATTATCATTTATCTACTACCTATAAATTGTACCACTGCTAACTAGTATATAGTCTTTAAAACTTTTTCTGTATGTTTATGCCAAGAAACATATATATTCTTACATTTGTATTTTTATATATGCACAAATAAATGCATATACATGTATATATTTCAAAACATACTGAAAAAAAAAAACCTACCTTTTTTCCAACCTAACAGTGAGTCATGGACATTTCTCCATAACAAAAAAAAAATAGAAAACTACAGCATTATTTACTATAGTATCAGAATATTCCATTTTACAAATATACCAAAATTGATTTATTCTCCCTCTATTTTTATTTAGTCATGATGCTATTTATAAACAAAGCATCTTTTCACTTTTTATATGCTTTTTTATGTATGTGCACAAATATGCAGATACATCTTTGCACAATTGTCTGACTTAGTTTCCTAGGAACATTCTTAGTAGTAGCATTGCTGGATTAAAAGGTATGCGTAGGCCTCCCTGGTGGCCAAGTGTCAAGTCTCAATGCTCCCACTTTGAGGGCCTAAGATCATAGGCCAGGGAGCTAACCCACACGGCACAGCAGACCTCCTGTCTCGCCTGTTCTGTTCCCTACTCTGGTGAATCCTCTTACCTCCCTGTACTGCTGGCCTATACCCCAGCTCTTCTATGCAAAAACAAATAAATATTTAAAAAAAAAAATTATGCATACCTTAACATTTGTCATATTTTTGCCAAGGTGCCTTCAAAATATTTGAATGCATGTACATTCCTGTTTTTATCTCTCACCTCTACACCCTGGCTCTGTCACCTAGAGAAAGTTGCTTCTGTGCTATGGCCCAGCCTCTTCATCTAAAATGGGTGTGAGAATAGTGAGTCACAATGAACATTTGTGAAGCACACACAACTACTGGGTGTGTACTGACACTTCACATATAGATTATGTTGGCCATTTACATCTCAAGCAATCCTAGGAGAAACTTTCTAAAATCTGGACTTACACTTTTCCCCATTTCTGGGGCTCAAAAAGTTAAGTAACTTGCCTTTGGGGACCCAGCTAATTAAGGCTGATCTGGGATCCAAACCCATTTCTGCTCCTTCCAAGGTTGGGGTGACTCTCAGCCCAGGGCCGTGCATTCTCAACTGGGGGTGAACTGGATGAGTCATGCTAGTGCACACAGGCAGCATGTTTCACCAGCTCCGCTCGTGCTGGGAGGGCATCCCAGCAACTCAGTGGAGAGTTCCTGTTCAAGGATGCTTACTTCAGCCTAGAAACAGCAAGAAGGGGTTTTCCAGAAGGTTTGGGGAATTTCCTTTGAGAAGAAACTTAAGTGTCTTTTCACTTTTGTTTTGGAAGTGAAGAAGCATGTTTTCAAAGTCAGCACCATCTCCCACACTGAAATCACAGATGGAAACAGATCCCCCACCCCCACTGCCTTTCTCAATCTGTGGCCATCTCTCGGAGCTCCTGGGGGGACCCTGCTATCCCGGCTTCTCCAGACTTTAACCAGCTTCTGCAGTTCTTTTGAATGCAGAATGCAAGCCCTCTGGAGTCTAAGAATAAACTAATTCTGACCCACTCCTTCTACCTTCCTTCGTGGGCCTATTTATTGGGCAGTGGCTGAGCAATCTTAAATATGGCTCCCAGGAGCTGCAGTAAGGTCTCAGTCACTGGGACCCAACAGGCCACTTTTGCATGCAGCAACTCTCATGGACCCCTCCTGGGTGGCAGGAGCCAGCAGGCACGTTCCAGGGAGTGTAGGGTTTCCAGAGCCTCTCTTTACCTGACAGAAAGAGATTTCTTACTTGTTGTTTTAACAGGTTGGTACAAAATAAATACACAGATTGTTAGGGGGAGATGGTTTTCAGTAAATAATGGTATAGTGGCCAGCAATTTGCAGGGAGCTGGTGGAGAAGATGTTTCCCACCTCAGTGGTGTGACAGGAGAATTACCTGGCTGAGGAGAGCGCACAGACAGGGCTTGGTGAGGTGGCCAGGGCATGCTGAGGCTGAAAATGTCTGCCCAGATAAATGACATATTAGATGTGCACCAGCCCATGAACCCAGCCTGGGGTGTCTTTGAGGTGTGTCCTCCCACCCCAGGCCAGTTTGACTGCTTGAAATGAGCTCAGGCCTGCGTGTGGGGACAGACTGCTCTGCCTTTTGCAGAAGCTAATAGTTCTGTGCTCAGAGCTTCCTTGTCCCTGGGGATTCACCCTCTACTTTTGGCGAAAGATTTTTATTGCCTTATCTAAGATGATGCTGATTCCTTTTTAAAACATGTTGTTGACTAGATGCTGATGATGTGAACTTCACAGAGTCATCTCAGAGAGGGAGGTGACCCATAGTTTGGGAACTGTTGTCACTAACAAAGAAGAGAAGGAGGCGGTCACTGAGGAGAAAACTGAAAGGGGGTGGAGAGGACCGGAAATAAAGCTCTCCGAAACATCTCCAGTGTGCCTGGCTCAAGGCCTAGCGTCTTACACGTATTTTTTCATTCCCTCTCCAGTCCCACCTTCTCAAGTGGATATTCATAGCCTCACCTTACAGATGAAAAATTGATGCTCAAAGGGGTTAAGTAACTTGCAGTGACACTGAGCTTAGAGGAAAAAAGTGAGATTCAGTGAGACCATAATGGAAATAAAAATGGTGCTACAGAAAGAAAAAATGTTCATTTTGAGGTATCTGATAGAATAACACTACTGCTCTTATGTGAGCAAGAGATAATGTGGCCGTGCACCGAGATGGTCCTCTCTGTGGCCTTAAAACAATGCAACTTCCTAGACTTACAATCGCCGGTCCATACATGCAGACTTAAGTGCCTTTTTTTTTTAATCAATCTGAAGCACCTGAACGTCTATAAAGGCGTGGGGAGCGTGTGCACTGGATAGAAACAACAGTCTTTTTGTGATCTTTTCACATATGTGCCCCTTCATCCGTCTTCTAGGTATGATTTCATTGAGATTCGGGATGGAGACAGTGAATCTGCAGACCTCCTGGGAAAGCACTGTGGGAACATCGCCCCACCCACCATCATTTCCTCAGGCTCGGTGCTTTACATCAAGTTCACCTCTGACTACGCCCGACAGGGGGCAGGCTTTTCCCTGCGCTATGAGATCTTCAAGACAGGTGAGTATGGTCCTGGTGGAGGTGGGAGCTGGACATGTAGGGAGAATGGGACTGGGCCTTCGGTGTCTGGCCTGGGGTGCTGTGTAAGGCTATGTACTCGTAGACGGAGCCGGCTGGGTGGAGAAAGTGGTGAGGATGTTCAGCCTAAGCAAGGTGAGAACCTGGAGACATCTCAAGATGAAAGCCAGTTTGTAGTTTATCATTAACTGGAGAGGGTGAGTTGTGGGCAAAGTGCTGGGTGCTGCATCAAATGGGTAGACAAGCTTTGTGGCACCCAAAAAGCAGAGGCACCGAATTTAAAAAAAAAAAAAAAAAGCAAGAAACAAAAAGCTCTTAGAAAGGAATTGATTTTTGTGTGTTTTTTAAAAATCACAGTAATCTTCATGGGAAAACAAAACAAAACATCCAATTACTTCCTGTTTTAATGTCCTTTTTGGAATTACATAGATTGGAAGTACTTAATCTTTTCAGTGTTTATAGTCTTTAAAGATCTTACTATGACCCCTCCTTCAAATGGAGTCATGCAGTAACTTTTAAATTCAAATAAGCGCCCCTTTTGATTGCTATTACCACTTCAACCCATTGCAGTCCCATTTCCTAAATGCTGATCAAGTTGTCCCCCTGAAAAGCAATAAATATATAGCTGAATAAAAGAGGCTGAAAGTGAGCTGACTGCGTGCTCCCTTTGGGGGCCCTTAGATTACTTTGACCCTGAGCATCCAGGGCAGTGCTTCTGTCCATAACAGGGTAGGGCACCTACACTCCAGCGCTCCAAGCGAACCATCCTTCCTTCCCATGTGTGAACTCATTATCCTTTAAAAAAAAAAAAGATTTATTTATTTATGCATATAAGAACTGGGGTACAGGCCAGAGGTGCCGGGGCTGGACGGGGGTGGGGGGGGGTGGGGGGGGCGAGAGGATCCACCAGAGACAGAGTGGGGAACAGAACAGGCAGACTGACTGAAACACACTGCTGAGGGGAGCAGCGGTGAGACAGGTGAGGTCTGCTGCGCCATGTGGGTGAGATCCCTGGCCGCAGGGATCAAACTTGTGCTGCACAGATAGCTTCATAGTGCTGAAGCTTAACCCCTTGTGTCATCAGAGAGGCCCCTGAACTCATTATCTTAGGGAAGCTTATCCTCCAATTGTCTCCTCACCCCCCTACTCGCTCCCTGTCCCAGAGGCTCCCACCCCATTATGGGTGGCTCCCCTCTCCAGCAGCCTAAGTTACAGCTCCTGGATGGTGTCTGGTGAAAAGGGAAGCCGTCAGCCTTGTCATCAAGAGGCCCAGGCCCGGCGCCTGTTGAGTTCAGTGTGAGGGGAACTATTCATATATATTTTCTTTTTCACTAAACAATTTTTGAAAGGAAGTGGTAGCTGCTGAAAGCACTTTTTATATCCACTCTGTCTAAATATTTGTCAGATTTGTCTGCCTGAGAACAAGAACGTAGAATCTGACCGAGGGAACGTGGAGCCACAGCGGGAGCTCTGTCACCAGGGACACACGCCCCCAGCAGGTTCACCTCCTGCAGCCTCCACAGTCCTGACAGTGATGTCACAGGGACTCAGCCTGTGAGTCCAGTGGCACAGGGCTGCATGGGGCTGCCACATGTCTTGATCCCTGTTCCCCGGGGTCCTGTCCGAGATTGCATCATCCTTTGCCGGGGCGCAGTGGGAGAGAAAAAAGAGAAAGGAATAAACCAGGGTGTTTGCCCTCTTCAGTGGAGATGAGAAGTGTGTAAGCCCGCAGCCCATAACACATGCACAGTAGTTGTTTGGTGAATATCTGTAAATTGAAAGGAAAATGATCATTTGAGGCAGAGTTAGTGCTTAGTAAAGTATGATGAATATGCTTCGATTATGAAAATGAGGGCACAAGCTGAGGATTGGGAAGTCTGTTAGATTGCAAGGTACCCAGTGCTGAAGCCATCACTCAGCTCCACTGTGCTGTGGGAAAGGAAAACAGCCCTGAGGCAGGACTTCCGAGGCAGCTGGCCATGGGAAGGCAAAAGGGTGGGCAGCAGCAGTGAAGCTCATCTCTGTTTCATGACTCCTGACTTAATAGTTCACAAAGCATGATACTGCATTCTCCAGAAAGCCTGAAAAAGTGAATGCTAACTATCCATCATGCATATCTGAAGGGATGATATTAAAAGATAAAACATACAAGGGGTTATCATAACTCAGCATCACTGTGTTGAGGACAGGCTGACGTAGGGTGTCCATGAGGCAGCAAGTCTGTGGACTGCCTCAAAGCAACAGTGCACAACAGTACACAACTTGGTGCACAACTGCCAGTCAAGGAAGGTGCCTTGCCATGGAGACCTGGGCAGCCTACTTTATGGACTGGGATGGCCTACAGCAGTACGAAAAGAGGAGTGGCGTGCCACCGAGACAGCCCCACCATGAACAGCCCTGCTTCTGGGGAATCTAAGAAAAAAGATGAGAGCTCAGTGAACTTATTGGGGCCATGCCCACCCCAAAGAGCAAGTCCCCAGCATGTGAGTCAGCCCTATATCAAACACAGACATCTGTGCGGGTGCAGAATTCAAAACTGAGAAGTTCAGGAAGAAGTGCGTTCTTCCAGGTGCCTTGTCCTGCTCCCACATTTCCATTGTCAGAGTCCTGGGAGAAAATACACAAAGTTGACGTTATCCACAGAACATGAAAGAAATGCATGAACATGCTGAAGAAATCCAAACAAACACAGCTATGTTTGCTAGTGAGATTCATAAAGAGAAAGAAAGGAGAACTGTAAACACAGATACACAAATAACCATGTGAAGGCTCTGGAAACCTTTGACAGCACGCTGCCCCGCTAGGCTCGGCTGCAGAATTCTACAGACAGACATAAAGCCACCATAGGGGGACCGACAGGGATGTGGCCGGAGTGGGAGTTTCATGTCTGCCCTAAATGAAGCGATTTATGAAAGAGTCTGTGTATTACCAGACTGTCCATATATAAACGGGTAAACCGAAACACCCAAACTTAAAAGATCTCAAATCATCAAATCAGAAGCAGAACAAAAAAAGAATTTTAAAATAACTTTAAAAGTAACCTTGGAACTGAATCACTAGAAAATGTATTGGGCTTTTTGTTTGTTTGTTTGTTTGTTTGTTTGTTTGAAGCTCCTTTGACCAAAGTTCCGGGTGTCAGTGACATTTCAGAAACTGAAATCTTTGCAGTCATTCGCAGAGAAAACCTGGAGTGCCTCTACTCCCAGTTCTTGAATTTAGTCACCGTATCTGCCTTTAGTGGTCAGGCCAAACTGAGCTTTGGATCAGTCTACCATGTTTTAAGTAGCTTTATCCCTGCAGATTCTTTTTTCCACTTGTGGAGTTACTATAAAATTTACTGTGGAAAAACAGAGTTTTTTATACCAGAGTCCTTTGGTATGAAATCATCCACTGCAGCTGAAGTCCCCCAGCATCTATGGACAAACTTAGCACCGAGTGAACTCGAGTACTTGTTCACAGAACCACTTTTTAAACTTTAATCCTTTTAACACCTTGCAGAAAAGGATTTTAGATTTGGTAGCTCTCTGCAAAAAGTCAACTTTGTCCCAAGATGTCACCCTTTTCTGAGGCCTCTTCCCCAGTGTTTGATACTCAACTGCATGCGTTCTGACACAGCGACACTGATCCAAATGATAAGATAGCACCATTAAAGATGAGTGTGCGGTTCTAGTAGGTTTAATTTGCTGCATAAAAACTGTTTCTCTGGCTCATTCAAAATAAACCAGAGGGTATACCCATTTATAAGAGACATACACATTTCTGTTTATTTATTTATTGGCATGTGGGATTGAAAAGTTCTCTCCTGTCAAATGCTCCTTAGGAGTTCAGCACCCTAGAAACAGTGATCCTCAAGAATCTCACATTCTCCAAGTCTCTCCTGGGTTCCCTAGCTGTCCATTGTGAAAGCACCTGTCCCCCAGGAATGGAGGGACCAAAGAAAGATTCCACCATACATTCCCCATCCCCAGGGGGTGGGGATTCTCCTTGCCTTTGGAGGCAATGACAATAGAACAAACTCTCCCCGAGGGAATGTCAGGAAGCAAGTTGTGAAAGGAGTTAATTTCCTCTGGCTAAGTGACTCACATGAATAAGGCTGCACCGCTGCCATAAACCCTAGCCTTTTCAAAATTCCTCTTGGCCCCCTGAAGACCAGCCTGCTGGCTTGGCTTTGCCAACCTGCCTCAATTCGTGCCATTGAGGAGGCCCTCAGGAGCTGGGAGCCGGAAGAGGCTGTCCCAGCTCTCCCTCCCAGGCCTGGCTGCCCATGTGGCCCAAGCCATGATGGAGTACAGAGCCCCAAAAATGTGGCACTTGGAGATTCCTCTGAATCCATGAAAAGGTTAGCCTCACCCCCAGGTGTCCCGGGTGCTTACCCCCTGCCTGGGTGCAGTACAGAGAAGAGGGCAGGCGGTGATGGATGGGTGGATAAGGATACTGGAATTTCCTGTCTGGTGCTAAAGAAAGTTACAACCTCCCCTCCCCCACGTATTTGCATGGCACCTTTTCCAACTCAGACTTTTGGCGCTTTCCACAAAGCCATCATCAATAAAGAGACTCGCGGAGGGGCGGGCTGCAGGAGCTGCGGATAAAGACATCGCTGCGGGCTAAGATCAGCGTATTGACATCACACAGTTTTATTTCAGCGGGATCCCCAGAGAACACTTCCTGCCAGTAAACACCTGGTTTATCGAGTATTTCTGTGTTTTTTCTTCATGCTTAGAGTGCCTATTATCCTCCTCATAAATCCGGCTACCTTTTTTTAATTTTAAAATCGGAACTAGCAAAATCGATTCTAATTGTCCAGCATTTACATGAGCCCTGTTAACTTGCATCACCGCTGGCTGGGGGCTTGGCCCAGGGTCTGGGCTGCGGTGCCCTGGGGACGGCTCCGGGGCTGCCCTGGCTGATGATGGCCCTTTGACTTTGATTTCACCTAGAGGCATAGGGAATAAGGCAACTGTCATCCTCTCTCAAGCTCGGGCTGCTCCCCATGCCTGCGCCAGGATGCCAATGTTTAGGGCATTTCACAAGGACCTTTCGTGGGTCGTAAGAAAGCAGACACAAGAGCTTAGGAGAAAACCAGGGCCATCGCCACCACAAAGGAACCAGAAGCCTTCCAAATGTCAATACACTGCCGCATTTTTCCAAACTTGCTGCTGGAGCTGCCTTTAGCATCCTGAAGCCCTGCTGTGATCCACCCGCTACAAACGTTGATTGTTAATTGTCTGGCCACTACAGAGCAGCTCATTTTAATATAGTCATGACATGAATGAGACCCATGCTCCCCTTTGCCCCTCCCCTGAGGCACCTTGGATCTTGGAGGGAGAAGGGGGCACTGAGTTGGCTGTGGTACAATAGGGGCTAGTGTTGAGGTCAGCAATAAATAAGGAGTAACATTGTTTCCCTGCTGGCAATCAGCAAGCCTTCCTTAAGGATTGAAATAACTTACATTTCTGGAGCAAGCAGCTGAGTAATTGAGAAAGAAGACTCTGTTCTTTTCAAGAGAATCTTTCTCTCTCTTTCTCTCTCTCTCTCTCTCTCTCTCTCTCTCTCTCTCTCTCTCTCTCTCTCTCTCTCTCTTTCTCCTCCCTCCCTCCCTCCCTCTCAGCCCATCCTCCTTCTATCTCACACACACTTCTTTCTAAAGGCCCCCCTCCCGATTTCTCAATTGCTGCTCTTACTCCAATGCATACAGCAAACCAGCTTGCCTCCCTAATTTCGGCCCTAAAGAGGGACTGGCTTAAGGGCTTGAATGTGGGTGTGAAAGTATGTTGCTTCAAGGGCCACTCCAGTGGAAACAAAACCCTTGTGAGTTGGGGGATTTGGGCGCAAATATTTAAATAACCCATGAAACAGAGGCAGCCAAGAACGCCATCCTTTTCTACTTTGTTGATGCTCCAGTTGTCTTTTACATACAGGCTCCGAAGACTGTTCAAAAAACTTCACGAGCCCCAACGGGACCATCGAATCCCCCGGGTTTCCCGAGAAGTACCCACACAACTTGGACTGCACCTTTACCATCCTGGCCAAACCCAAGATGGAGATTGTTCTGCAGTTCCTGACCTTTGACCTGGAGCACGACCCTTTGCAGGTGGGAGAGGGAGACTGCAAATACGATTGGCTGGACATCTGGGATGGCATTCCAAACGGTGAGTGATGTCACTAGCATCACTGGTGCCTGTAAATTGCTTTAGTAACAATAAAAACAGAGACCAAAGACTTCAAAGTTCTTTAGGATTCACATATTACCCCCAATGACTTTCACTCCTTATCCTTCACTGAGGATGATTTCAGGGAAATTGTTGAAAGGCAGATTCCTTTTTAAGAGATATTTCCTTGGAGAAAAATAAAGAACAGTGAGTAAATAGTTGGATAAGGATGAGGAAACCTATAGGTAATGCTCTCTTCTGCTCCAGGTTGTCAGGATTGCCATAGAAAATGACTCAGTAACCACCCTCTATGCCCAAATAGGAGTAAAGAGACAAATCCTCTAGATTTAAATCCTGCTCTGCTGTTAGCAAGTCTGCAACCTTGGGCCAGTTACTTAAACAGCTGCTGTCATTATTATGATGATGATGATGATGATGATGATGTTATTATTCTAAATGTGGTCATACTTGTCAAAACAGTTCAAACAGTTAATCACCCAAAACAGAACGGAAGCTGTCCTTCAGGTGGAGACCAGCATAGATCTTAGATATGGTCACTATTGGCAAAGAAACCAATCTTTCACTTTTGTACTCAAAGTATTTTCCAATGGAAGGAAGACTTGATGGCTAAGCATTTTCGTTTTCTGAGAAAAGCATATGATTTAGTTAGAAAGCTCGGATGTGAGTCCCAGCTCTGTTGCCTAGCCTGTGAAAAAGGAGAAGTCCTGTGAGCTCTCCTAGCCTCAGTTTCTCCTGTAGAATTACAGACATTGTAACACCAGAACTTCGGCCCAACCTCCCAGGGCTGCAGGAACAGAATGGGGCCAGCTCAGTGAAAGTATCTTCCAATGTGCAGGAAAATATTAGACATTGTTCTTAGACCATTTCATGGGGTTTTCTTTTATGCTAAGGCATACAAAGTGATGCTCTTTTGAGTGACTTGCAGTTGTGGGGAGGAAGTATGTATGTATATTAAAACCTGAGTTTGACGTTTATTTCTTCTGACCTCTTTTTCTCCGGCACGTCCAGTTGGCCCCCTGATTGGCAAGTACTGTGGGACCAAAACCCCCTCTGAACTCCGTTCCTCTACGGGGATCCTCTCTCTGACCTTTCACACAGACATGGCGGTGGCCAAGGATGGCTTCTCTGCACGCTACTACCTGGTCCACCAGGAGCCGCTAGAGAGTGAGTTGGCTGGTTGGGAGCTTGACCTGTTCTCACTGGGTTTGGGGTGTACAGTGAAAAGAGGGTGACCTCTGAGAGGAGATGGGAAGTCTACAGAATGTGCAGAGCCATCCAAGTTCAAGGAATGGGAGCTGCATCCTCTTGCCAGGGAGAGATTAATGAAAATACAACTGTGCCGGGTACTCGTTTCATTATATGAAAAAAGAAGTATGTGTACCAAGAATTAGTGGTTCCCAGAGAAAATCATAGGACTGTCTTTGGCCTCAGTTTTCTCATGTATGAATGGCCTCTTAGTTGGGATATCTGTAAGGAAACCTGCAGTGATGTTCTATTCTAAATCAACATTTATTGAGTCTGGAGCCTTCCTCCAAGCCTCAGTGGCCATTGTTTCAAAGCTGAGCAATTTTAAACCTCTCTCCTTTCTCTCTCTCTCTCTACACACACACACACACACACACACACACCATTTACTATATATGCACACATGTATGTGCATACACACATGTATATGTGTGTAATATATGTGTTTCATGGGGCTTGGGTGTGTGTGTGTGTGTGTGTGTGTGTGTGTGTGTATGTTTTTGATGTTGAACATCTCTGGCCCTGCATAGAATTTCCATCACTAGACTGGTACATTGCTTGGATATTTTGATGTGGATTTGTACCTCACACTTCCAATAAATACAATATGTGAGCTTGTCTCATGCAGCTCTGGCTCCAGCTATCATGGAACCTGCTGGCCAGGCTGTCGGTCTCTTGCCCTGAGCTACATCTTCAGATCAGCTCTTATTGGACATGTGCTGCTATTTTTACTTAGAAACCCAAATGATAACTTTAAGGATGAAAAAAACACTTAAAGATGATTAGAGCCAGGGACATCCTGCTGTGGTTGGAGCCAGTTTGCCACACGGACACAATGGTCTAGCCTGCCAGCCAGCCACTGGGGTTTGCTTTTTTTTTTTTTTTTTTTTAATCAAAGAGCTCATGAAGATTGAGTGACAAGAAAACAGTATAGCAAATTGCACCAGGTCCTGCCAGTGCAGTCATGGAGCAAAAAACAGGTTTGAGGCCTGAAAGTGATTGCTGGTCCTTACCAGACACACGCACACACAAATATTGACCAGTGTCCGTGGTATCCCTGGGAAGGACAGCAATTAAACTGATGGCACAAGGCCAGAATAAGTGACTTCTGGGTCTATTTGCCCAGACAGGTGGTGCAGGGGAATAGAGAGTGACATGCATGTGCTCAAGAGGTCTCCCAAAGACAGGTATTTATTGCTTTGTAATGTCTGTCTTCTGTGCCAGAACTCATGAGACAGTTGAGTGAAAGAAAGAAAGAAGCAAAAGTGCCTCCTGGGTGTTTATTAATAAGGCAGGCTTCCCAAGGTGTAGCAGCCCACCCAGATTGCCACAAGTCTCTCAAACATTTACCTTTATTTCAATAATAGTGCATCTGGCATCCATGAGCATCCGTAGCCTGCAGCACTAACAGTTCTAGTGCTTTAGATTGTATTTTTAATTTGTATGATGACTTTTATTTATCCACAGCCTGATTTCTTTTAGGTCCAATTTAGTTTCTTTCAGACCCAGAGGGGTTGTCAAGCTCTATGCCTTGACGTAGTTGTTTTTAAAATGTGCGTGTATAATTAGTTCTTTAAGATGAAGGTGTGCCTGCAAGGACTTGTCCCTAGAAGGGAGCAATGTTTGGGGGATTCCAGGGCTTTACGTTTGAAAAACCTAACTCTTCCCTTGACCATCTTCATTTCCCAGACTTTCAATGCAACGTCCCTCTGGGAATGGAGTCTGGCCGGATTGCTAATGAACAGATCAGTGCTTCCTCTACCTACTCTGATGAAAGGTGGACCCCTCAACAAAGCCGGCTCCATGGTGATGACAATGGCTGGACACCCAACTTGGATTCCAGCAAGGAGTATCTCCAGGTACTTACTCACTACGAGAATGTACAGAATATGCAGCAAGTTTTGGTGGGTAAGAAGGTTGGCTCCTCATCCAGAGTGGACAGAGGACACAAGGAAAATAAACACAGCAGACTTTACAATTCCATACATTACTCACTGCAAACAGACATGTGCCAGGCAGAAATAGACTGTGCCAGGCACTGTGCTAGGTGCTGGGATAAAAGAATGAGTAGTGTGGACACTGCCCCTTGCCCTTGTGAAGATTACCAGCTTACAGAAGTTGCTTGGCTAGCATGCTGTTTGCCCTGTCACTGTAGATATTCAAGGAACATTCTATAAACAGTTCCAGATCTTCCTCATTCTTGGCACAGGGAGGCATCAGAGACTTTGGGGGGGTGGGCAGGCTTGTTGAGTTGCTGGCTGAGCATGGCAGCTTCTCATGATCTTTGCTATTTGGAGGGAGCCCTGCCAGGAAGGTTTTGCGCATAGCGATCAGAAGAACACATGGGGAAATGTCACCACCAGGAATGAAACTCTAGTTGCCCAGATGCTCTGCAGCATCTTTTTAAACTATTGTTTCTTTTCCTTCTGAAAAAAACTTCCAGCTCATGGTGAGTAATCATCTCTTGCACTCCACACTGGTCTGTTTGTCCTCCCCAGGGAAGAGCAAGCTGCTAGCCCCATGGAGAGCACCAAATGATTTTATGACACATGGCAGACAGTCTTGTCCTATCTTGACAGTCTTGTCCTATCTTGACAAGCTGTCCTATCTCTGAGGCAGTGTGGTGACCTGTGCTCTGAGAAACATGCTGCAGAGCAGGCCAGAAAGGGAGAGGGACCACTTAGAAACTTCTAGGGTTCCACAGAGGTTCTAACAGCACAACCTGAAGGCTATTTGTGGATCTCTACTCTGCCTCTCTCCAAATCCTTTTCCTCCTGCAAAGCCACGAGAAAGTTCTTCATCAAAGTCATATATCCATTGATTATCCTCCTTATTTTTGATCCTTAGTCATTTTTTTTTGCTCTCCACCTGTATCTCTTATGCATACAGCCCCACATACTAATTTTGAATGCTCAATACATCTTAAGTAGCCAATAACTGCTTGCTGAATACAGTTGTGCCAGTGTGTGCTGACTAAATTTTGATCACATGGAGATTGCCATAAAAAAGCATGGTGGCCAGCAAAGGAATGACATCCAGCAATTTTCAAATGGGTTCAGTGTTGTCGGAGGGGAGGTGCCTGAAAAGGTTGGCCATCCCCTCCTTGTAGAGCAAAAGGTCAAGACTCAGTGCATAAGCCTAATTGCTTGGGCAGACTTTGCATGCCCTCTGACCCCGGAGTGACCTTAGCCACTAAATACACAATGGAGTGAGGGGCTGAGGAGAGGGAAGACAGCCATAAGCTGAGACTTTTGCAAGTAGGGCATCATAAGTGAATTGGATTGAACTGGACTGGATTGGAGTGGAGTGGATTTAGCTATTGTTCCTTTAACATAGCATTTGCTTTCATGAGCCAAGGCGGCCTGTAGATTAGACAGAAGGGGTCATAGCTCTAAATGCGGAAGGATTCCTTTAAGATTAACTTAATACTGTCCATTCAGATTGAAAAGAAAAACAATAAAGTTACGATTCCAAAGGTGTCCAAATTAGTGTCAAATAAGTTGAGTTTAACTGTCCAGTGGTATTGCAAACCAATAGGCTCGCCTGGGCATCTGAGTGCATCTCAGACACAGGTTGTGAGCCAAGCATTACAATGTGCTCTTTGGGGAAAAAGCAAGACGCTGTCGGGTCGGTGTGGGAGTCACTGGCCCTTTCCTTTCCCACCTCTCTTCCCCAGGTGGACCTGCGCTTCCTGACTATCCTCACGGCCATCGCGACGCAGGGAGCAATATCCAGGGAAACCCAGAATGGCTACTATGTCAAATCCTACAAGCTGGAAGTCAGCACCAATGGCGAAGACTGGATGGTGTACCGACATGGCAAAAACCACAAGGTAAGCGCCTTCCCTGCCTGAAAGGCATGTGGGGACGGTGCAGGAGGAATGGGGGAGAAGAAGCTTCAAGTCGATCCCTCCTAGGGGACGAAGCTGTTCAGCGAGTCTCTAATAATTGATGGAGGCACGAAGACACTGGCCCTGAAAATACTCTTCCTTATGCGAAAGTGATTGGAAAACAACATTTTTTTCCACCAGCCCCACTACTGTTGCATCTTGCAGAGCAGAGGGAGGGAGAGCTCGCAGAGCGCTCTCTGACTGCAAATGAAGGAGAAAATGTGTTCCCAGCCCGGGTCTCCCCATCCAGGATTCATTGAGCATTTATGGCCTGAGTCCCTTCCACATGCTGGGTTAACAATCACAAAACCACATGAAACTGCAGTTCAGGAGTTACTGAGGTCTGGAAATGAAAGGGCACAAATCCTGCGAGGGAATCACAATGTCCCGAAGAAGAAAGAGGACAATAAATAATGAGGAGAAATTCAGTTTGTCAGGGATGGGATCTGAACTGGCAATCATGCTTGGCAGTGAGGCATTGAATTTTCTCGGCTGGTGCCTTCAGTGTCGGTGGCTCCCAGAGGTGTGTCTGTGTGGCTGATGTGGGGCTTTTGTTGTACATGTGGATGGATGTCTGGCACTCGGCTCTCCTCAGACACATGGCGTTCTGGCAGTGGGCAGGCCTGCAGCTGGCGCTGCGCTGGTTGTGGGGTACCTCAGTTATGGGAGCTTGGCAACCAACCAGTGGTCTCACCTGGCCTGGGGGACCTCTGCTCGTGAGGGTGGGCTCTCGGGTATGAGAGGACAGCCATGTCCTGGGGATTCCTGGAGATGCTCCTCCTTTGTGGGAGGGAGCTGGGGATGGAGAAAAGGATCTCTCCTTCAGTGCTGTAACTCCACCAGGTCCCTGGTCTGCCAGAGTGTGAATTACCAAATGGGACATGTGGCCAAATGTAGAAACGTCAGAGGTCTTTTCCCAGTGGCGTCTCCTCAGCTCCTGTCCTGTCCCAGGGCAGCTTGTTCTTAACTGGTGCCGCTGGAAATCTTGGACTGAGAAAATCCTGAAGTATGTTTCACCCAGGAAACATGAGTTTTCAAAGGAGAGTTTTATTTTATTAAAATCACCATAGTAACGTGGCACATTCATGTGAAAATCGTGGCTTCTGAGTATTCCCAGGTATCACACACAACTTCCCCCATTCAGCATATAGAGAAAGTGGGGTACTTAGCTATTGAAAGACTTCTTTGCCTAATGGATGAGGAAACACAACTTTGCTTGGCTCAGGAAGAATTGCCAAACATTACTTGGGAATGGCAATCGGGGAGTGGCAAGCCTCAGCTGGCATCAGGTGCTGGGGGTGCTATGGACTGAGACCTCATGCCACCCCACTCCCTTTCCACTCATGCCTTCTCTCTGCACCCACCCTTTTCAGTAGGAAGCTGCTGGAACCCAAAAGCTTAGCCAGGCAAGTGAGGGCCTGGGTAGGGGTGGGTGCTGGGGGAGGAGGAGGAACTTTACCTGATCGCCTCCTGGTCCAGGCTCAATGACTAAGCAGCGCTAGCAGAGGGATCCTGTAGCATAAGCTGATTTTAAAAGCACACAGATGGACCAGGATGCTATTTAAAACACCATTTGTAGGAAATCTGCTTTTGGAAATACCTTAGCACTGCACATTTTGATAGAATACTGTCCTCCCTGGCTTTAGCCCTGGTATCCGTTCTGCAGGGAAGATATCCCTGAGAATTAAATTTTGCATTCTGGACTCCTTTAGAATCTTTCTTCCCAACTTTTTCATAGCAGACACCTCATTCTCTTTTTTCCTTCCTTTCTTTTAACTCCCCTTCTCACCCTTGGCTAAATGCTCTCCCTCCCCAGCAGCCAAGGGGTAATTTGGTTTTGGTTTTGTTGTTGATGTCCTTTTAAAAAAGTTTTCGTGAATAGCCCTGTCCACATAAAGGATGTTGGGGCAGAGGGAGAGCCTTTCTTTCCTGATTAGAAATTCATCCTTTGAAATTTAGAAGGAGGCAAGAGAATAAAGCCTGCTAATTAGACATTGCCCTCTCCCCAAACTCCCTGTCCCACCACAGGTGTGGCAGGGGATAGGGGCGACCAGCCCAGTTCTCCCCTCCAACGGTGAGATCTGCTGCTCCTTCATTAGCAGATCTAGCTCCCAGATGTCTGTATTTAATGTGCAGATTCTGCACCACTCATGGTGCGTCAGCGCAGCTCTCTGGGCTGTGCGGGTTGAAATAGTTGAGTGAACCATGCCAAATAGATTTGTCAAGTCTGCTGCAGTTTGATTTGATGCACGAAGGGGAGGCAGGTTGAGGAGGGGACTTGGGGGCTGTGCGGGGAGAGGCTCCAGCTACCCCGGGTGCTACCAATGAGTTTCTCTTTGTAGCCGCTGGATGGTGGGCACCGTGCCAAGCTAACTGGTGCTAAGTGGTAGGCTTGAAAGTGAAATTCAGACGGCAGGACCGTGAGCAGAGCAACACAGGGATGCAGGCAGCAGCCTGCTCTGCTCTGTGTTATAGCAGGGGGTTTACAGAGGACCCCCGGGAACACAGTGAGGGAAGAGGGGATGGGAGCAGAAATGTGGGAACTTGATTTCAATTCCCTGGTCACTGTCAACACCAATGCAGTGTACCAAAGACCAGGGAGCTGGGGAGATTGGAGAAAAACAAGATTAATGAGAGCTCAGGGTGGTGGGGGGATGGCTGTGCTATTTCCTTGCAAAACATTTTTTACAATTTGGACCCAGCCTGGGCTGAGGCAAGGCCTAGGCCTATGAGCGATTGACTTTCTTCTTGCAGCCAGGAGGTGAGAAAGATTACTCTTTTCCAATTTCCCCCAGCTGGCAAGCAGCCTCCTCTTAAGTCTCTTTCCATCCAGCAGGTAATGGTGAGAGTGCCTGTGAAGACGATTGCATTGGTGTTGAGGTACTGCAAGCCTCCCCTGGCAAAACACAGCCCAGTCACTCAGCCACGTGTACAGCACATCCCCAAATATATCCAGTTCCACATGTCACAAATATGGAGCCTGTGATTTTCACCTAGGGCGGGGCCCCTTATGCATATTTATGGCGTAACCACAAGGCAGAGAGCGCGTCTGCCTGATGGAGCCCATATCCAGCCCATGTGCTCCCTTAGATTATACAAATTACTTCACATATATTACTTCAGAAACCACAAGCAGAAACTACTGCTTTTGGTTTCACCAGCTGTATTAATAACACCCCAGACATAGACATGGTGTTGTAAATACAGCAGTGGAAGGTTCCTGTATGTGTGTAATTATAGACGCAATTATGTACACACAAACCAAGGGTGGAATGTGGAGATAGATGGGAGGAGCTGCAGCCTCGAGGCCTTGGCCAGGGTCCTGCTCACCTCGGAGGCACTAGCTGAGAATGAGATAGTGACTGGTCCGGGCTGGGGAACAGAGATCATTGCCCTAATGGTTAAGCAAAGCCTCTCGTTACTTCTCCCTCACTTGGCACATGTGGGCATATCCCCAGTTGACGTAGCTAGCACTGGTTACCTCACTTCTAGTCACAGTGTTGCTACTCTGTGCCCCCAAATGGGGGAAATCTGAGCTAAAAGAGCATTGCTCTGTGGTGGTTCCAGAAAACATATTGATGGCTAGAGGAGAATGGAAAGGTGAGGACAGGGATGGGGTACATCTGGGATCCCAGTGTTTGAGTGGCAGGAACCTACCAACCTCATCATATTAATGTAATGATGACCTCCAAGGGGCTCCGAGATCCCTCAGACACCAGTCTCCTCACGTCAGAATTTAATAGCATCTCACTGACTGTGAGACTGAAGCGCCCAGATGCTAAGTCATTCGCCCCCGAGACTGGGGAACCATGGCCTCCCTGTAGAACGCACCTGGTTGTCAAGATCTGACTTCCAGGTGGTGCTGTCAACGAGCTGATCCCAGACTTTCTTGTCATCTTGCAGCTAGAGAGACATCAGCTTCCTGGATGATCTGACCACAGGTCAAGAGGTGTGGGTTTCCCAGAGAGTGGAGAATGGCCAGCAGGCTTAGAACATGAGGCTCACTGCTTTGGAGTTTGGGCTCCATCATAGACTCCTGGGCCTTAAAAGAAGTTGCTGTTTGTTTGACTTGGCAGCAGCCCTTCCAAACAAACAAACACCCTGCTTCCAAAATCCTCTGTTCTATGTTTATTTTCTAAATTAAAGCAAATTATTTTGAAAACCGTTTGAGAATTCAAAACCCTCTGTGACATTATCCTCAACTTAGGTGAAAGACGGTACTGTCAGAAAACCAAGCCCCCCAAATCCATCAATTCACAGAACCACATGGTGTCTATCTTCAGATCTTTTCTGCTGATGTGCTGTGTGACCTTGGAAATGTTTCCTAACAGCTCCCTGCCTCAGTATTTCCATCTGTCCACATAGGATGGTGCTGCAGCTACTGGCACAGCAGCCTGGGATCTGTAGATGGAAGGCTCTCTGTAGATATAATTAATGTATTAGACCCACAAAGCTCTTCTTGAGCAGAAGCAAGTTATCAATTTAAAAAGTAACAAGGCCCCATGGGATATTTATCTGCCTCTTTTAAAATCATAGGTCTGGAAGGGACTGTGATAAGTCATCCAGACCTCTCCCTGCATCTGATGGGGCCTGCACTTGCAATAAACATTGCCCCTTTTGGCCCCTTTTGGCCCCTAACAGTCTTCTGTTAGGGATGCAATTATTCCTCATATTAACAATTTTGAGTTTTCAAAAATATGTATTTTTTAACCTCCCAGTGGACAACTGGCTTCTCTTGTCCTTTTTGTTGCAGTAATTTTGTTAATTATATGTAAGATTAAAACGATGACTCAGATGGTCAGCTGGTAATGGGCACAAGTGTGATCGCTTGGCCCGGTGTGGCATATGTATGTGCAGAAGCCGCCGACGCCCTCTGCAAACTCGAGTCCCCCAGTTGGGCTGGCCCCCTCAATTATGACTGAGAAGAATCCTGTGCCTTAGGT